TCGCCATTTATCCGATATGACTCGCAATCAGCATTAAAACGACTCTCGAGAGTTGAGAGAGAGAGAGAGAGAGAGAGAGAGAGAGAGAGAGAGAGAACAAAAAACAATTTATAAGGCAAACGCTTAAGGTCTCGTTAACAACTTGGAAAGTTCGACGTACGAATATTGCGAGAGAAAACAAACAGAGAGAAAGGAGGTTGAGCGAAAGGAGGGTAAAGGATTGACGGGCATGTTATAGTATTTAACAGGGTGACTAGCTTGGTTCAAAAATAGATCGCGGCAATATCTCGCGAGGACGGTGTCACTGTCCTCGTCATTTATTCAATGTACTCCGCTTCGCGGTCCACTCCGCGTGACATCGCACCGACCGTTAAAGGTCTTGAACGACAGCGACCACGCTGAATTTCTAACGTGGAAAGCGCGCCCTTAAAAGCATGAAAGGCGAGAGAGAGAGAGAGAGAGAGAGAGAGAGAAAAGACGGAGTTGCCGTTTGCGTTTTGACGAGATGACGGAGAATCCGAAAGTGAACGCGAGTAAGCGAAAAGCAATGTTCCCTCGATCTCGGTAGGTAATATTTTAATCGATTAGAATTATTTGAAAAATCCTTTTACGCTCCAAGGATTTGTCTCGACGCTCGTTCGCACGACGACATTAATTCGTTTGCAATTAAAACGGATTCGCAAGCGTATGAGAGAAGAAAGGTTATCCGGACGAGCGCTCGCCCGTCAACGTTACGAACGAAAACAAAAGTTACCGAATCGATGGAACAATGGCGCGTAATGAAACGGTTTTTCCAAAGCTACGATGAGCCGGCTACTCGTAACCGAAGGACAGTTCTCAACCTGTTTGCTGCGTAGCTCCCTTTACCTCGAAAAGGACTCTCATCAGCCGTTATTATTCGTTTAAACCGTTGTGACTCCTCGTTAAGGATTGAAATCTCGTTATTTCATTCGGATTTGCAGTGACCTCGCCTTTGCCGGTGATTAGCCCGCTTTTATACGTCGATAGCTAGGCGAGCGAGCGAGCGAGCGAGCGAGCTCAATAACGTGCGAATACCGAATCGGACGGAGATTACTTCCTAATGCGGTTGATTTATTTTCGTGTAAAGTCTTGGCAAAGTTTAGTATCTCCTAGCAAATCGTGCTTCCATCGTAAAGAAAGACACGAAAGGTCGGCGATAAATCGGGCGGTAAGAAATATCACTTTTATCCGGGCGGATGCCAGTCCGAATTCACCTAAATTCAAGCCGAGATGCTCGCGAATCGTGGAATGCTGATTTTCGAAGGAAAGAAACTGATCCTTAGCGCGAAGCGATCGTCTAAGAGAAGAAACGTTAAACTATCGCCCAACGGAGCAATTTATTCTACAGCGGAGGAGGAGGAGGAGGAAAGCGTTACAAGTCCGTCGAGCGAAATTTTACTCCCGCGAGAAATTCAAGATTGGAAAAAGAAAGGAGCAGGCGATATGAGAGAAGAAGCTTTTCCGCAATTCCGAGGGCGCGGCGGGTTAACGCGAAGCAAAAAAAAAGAGGAAAATAACGAATGGACGATCGAGGAGGGGAGAAAGAGATTTCTCTTGATGAAACGGTATAGTATACTTCTCGTAGCGTATCAACGCGCTCACATACAACTATATAAATACCGCTTGGATTTGTAGGCGAGAAGAGAAGATGAATCCCCGCTATGGTAGTTGCAGCACGTCCGGAAATGGAGGGAATCGGACGGCGCGACGTCGTAATTTCCGGTACGCCCTCAAAGGGAAAACGGAAAGGTGCTAGCGGAAAGAAACAAGAAGAAATCTTAGATAATTCCGGCGGTACTCGCTCTCTGACATTAGCCGAGCTAACAATTTTCTCCAATTCTTTCCTTTTCATTCTTATTTCTCTTCTTTGAGTAAAAACGAAAAGGAATTCGTGCTTTCCGAGCGATCTCGTTCCTCTCGGAACAAACACCCCGATCGAGATAATCGCTGTCAAAAAGTAGATGAAATTTCTTCTTCGAGTTTTAAGAGAGAGAGAGAGAGAGAGAGAGAGAGAGAGACAGAGAGCACGAACGAGATATCGTGCCACGCGGAAGATTAGAAAAGTTTCTCGATATCGAAAGAGTTTCGCTTTGCCGAGAAATTAAATATCCGGACTTTTTCTTCGAGTTTCGCCAATGAACCTTTCAATATGATCTTTTCTAAATATAAATAAATCGCATAAACCGTATCGTTCGTACGGGCCGTGACGTAACGTTGCTCTTACGGAAATACGTAAATAGGAAGGGAAAAAAAAGATAAAGAAGAAATTAGTAGAAAAGAATCGAGGGCAAAAACTCTCGTATTTCTCAGCCTGTCCCTATTTTTCATCGTCCTGCATAAGTGTCCGACTACGAAGCGCCATTCCCTTCTTTCATTTACGAGAGAAAAACAGGAACAGCACGATGAAAGCTTTGAAAGCTTTCTCAAGCGCGCGCGCGCGCGTTACAAGCGTACTCGTGGTTCGTTCGTACTTTCGGCGCATTAATATGCCACCGAGCATATTAAGCGTGTCTCTTAGGTTTATCTCTTTCTCGCCGTGTATAAAGCAATGAATTTATATAAGAGAATAGGGACATCCCGACAACCACGATAGTGAAAAACCCGTTGATCAAGATGTACTTTGCCTATGTCGTACCTTCTCTCGAATCAAATCGAAGAAAAGAGAAGAGAAAATTCGTGTACCATTCGTGAAGCGTTCCAAGCGTCCTTGTTTCGAGAGATTAGAAAGAACGAAAGTGCGAGGACGTACGCGACGTTAGATAGAAATTCGAACGTGAAAACTCAATTTGGAGTAAGGAACGGAAGGAAAGAGGAACGGTTCTTATGGCCGTTTGAAAAGCGCCCCAAGACCGTGAATCGAAATGCGATTTCAACGATCGCATCTTTAAACGTTTCAAAATAGAAAGGATAAGGAGAACGAACGAGTTCTCTCGATTAGAGAAGAATTATTTAAATTTCACTCGCGCACGATATAATATCTAGACGAAATAAAATATCGTACGACAATTTATTGATTCGGGACAAAATAAAAAAGCTTTCGTTGGAAAGGTCGAAAAGCAATTAAAAGCGTTCGCTTTCCGTCCTTCTCCGTTCAACTTTTTAGCCGTGCCGGCGGAGCTTAAAAAGCCTCGAGTTCCGTAAAGTTTAGCGATCGTTAAAGGAAGAATTTAATTAAGGTAACGAAATAAAATAATAAGCGAGAGGCGAGAGAGATGTTCCTTTGGTCATAAGGGCCAACGATACTTTCCTATTGCTTTCCTTCTTTATCTCCTCGAAAGTCACAAGTATTCCCGTTTTTGCGAAAAGCGTACGAGATCTCCTCTTTTATTCTCGATCGTTGGAGCGATTCGTCTCGTGCGATCGATCCCGATTAAAACGTAATTAATTCGAGATCGAAACGAGACTCGCGTTCTTTACCAAGGCCGCGTCCTCGCTCTACCTACAGTATTTCAAATCTCAATTTGTTATCCCTCGCGGAACTTACTAAAGGTCGCAGCGTGTAAGGACAAATATTTTCGAAATTGCGCCGCCCACACCTTTGTCAACTTGCGACTTCGATCTTGTTCTCTTCTCTATGCTATATGTACTATATGAATGTAGTATATTTACTTTCGTGTACGTACGAGTATAAATGTTCGACGCAATATCTAAGAATCTTTTAAAGTTTTTTCTTTTATCTCCAACATTTCTATCGTAATACAATGACAAAATCATATACGTGGGATCGCTATAAAGCGAGAACGAGTAACGAAGAGGATGTGAAAGAAGGAAAAAAGTGTAGTCTTAGGACGCGTTAGCGAAAGCTATCTCATTGTCACTTCGTTCGATCGAACTTTCTCTTTCTCTCTATTTATCCATTTCGTTGCTTTCTTCGAGAAAGAGGAGACAAATGACGATATCGTATTTTACGCTTTCCTCCTTCGAGAGACTCTCCTTCGTCTAGACGAAACGGAAAAGCCTCTCTCTCTCTCTCTCTCTCTCTCTCTCTCTCTCATCTAGTTTCCTCCAACATATCGTATAACATACCCGTCGACAAAAGTAAGAAAACAAATAATATTTTCCAGTGTTGCGCTTTATCATAAGCGATCCCGCCCCGAAATTCTCCGACTCTCTCTCTCTCTCTCTCTCTCTTTCTCTACCCACCGCCCCCGTGTCTAGTTAAATTTTCAAACAGTGTATTTCCCTTTCAAGCCCGACTACGTCAGTCGTCGCGAGAAAACCGTTGCATTTGGCGAGCACTCACGTTCCACTTTTTCGCATTTTCATCGTACGAATCGCCAAGAAGCATTCGCCAACCTTTCCCATTTGCCTTGGAAAAGAAAGAGGAAAGATATGGTGTTGTACGTGTATGTGGGCCGGAGTCGTTATTTTAACATCTTCCGTCCGCTGACCGTACACCACCGTCTTGCATTCCTCGTAATGCGAGAGAGTGATTAAAAGCACGTAGGAAAGTTGGTCAAATGTGAGAATTAAGTCGAGCACCGTGAAGCAATCTTTTTTAAGGTTCCCGCAAAAAAACACTTGTGTCTACACACAAGTACTGTCTATTCGGGGAGAATGCGTTCGGGGTATGTTAACTCGCGTATCGCGGCGCATCTTTTAAAAGAGAAAACGTTGAGAAATTTCGTTGCGATTTATTAGATCTATCTTCTCTCCCCGAGGAGAACTTTACCGAGTAAGAGAGCGCGCGAGCATAAAGAGAAATGAGCTTTTTTAGAAGCGACGGCACGTTCCACAGAGATTTACGAGCTTTGCCAATCGAATACGATAACGTTCCTAATTTTTTCTCTGTCCAACGATATCAAACGATATCGAATTAAGAGAAAATTATGTACGAGCCCGATAACGGATGCGATGTGAGTTTAAAGTCTTGGAACAAAGCGAGTCGTTTTCTTTTTCTTTTCTTTATTCACGTTTTTGAAAATTCGATTCAACGTAAAACACCCTAAAATCGACAGGCTCGTGTCGGGCCAGCTAATGAAAAATGTATTCTTACGTATATACACGTGACAATTGATCCACCAGAGACGACATTAAATTCTACGCTCGCATACACTGGATCCATAGACTGGGTCCAACGGTACGCACATATTAAACCCTTGAAATAAATATAATCAATTAAAATAAATATAATCAATTAAAATAAAATTAACTCAGGAATGATAGAATTACATAACGTTTAGTTTAGTTTAAAAACGAAAAGTATCAAAAGAGGAAACAAAGGCACGTAAAATAACGATCCATCATGGATGAACGAATTTTCACAGATTTCCTTTTAGATACGCTTCCTTCATCTTCGTTCGAAGGATCTTGCCGGTTGGATTTTTGAGAATATCTCGGACGAATGAAACACCACCTGAAACACGATACTCGCATAAGAAAAGAGAGAGAGAGAGAGAGAGAGGGGGGGGGGGGGCGGGGTTGGCGTACGTACCATTGAGTTGCTTGTACTCGGAAACCTTGTCCTTAACGAAATTCTTGATATCCTCCTCGCTAACCTTCCTGTTCTTTTTCAAGACGACGAAAGCCCTCGGCACTTCTCCGGACCTTGCGTCGGAAATACCGATTACCGCGCATTCCTCTACGTCGGGATGCATTCTTAAAACTGACTCCAATTCGGCCGGTGGAACCTAACAGGGGAAAGAAAATAAAATGAAAGGTTATCGTAGGAGATAATAATAATGTGTCTCTGTGATTTACCTGAAAACCTTTGACCTTAATCAACTCCTTCAACCTATCGGTAATATAAAAATCTAAATCGTCGTCGAAGTAAGCTATATCGCCGGTTTTCAACCAACCATCCTCGAGTAACATTTTCTTCGTGGCTTCCGGATTATTAAAGTAACCTTTCATGACGTGAGGTCCTCTTATCCACAATTCGCCGTTTCTACCGGGCTCGGAAATGTCTACGTTCGTTACGATATCGACCAATCTCACGTCGCAACCGCAAATATTCTTTCCGATACTCGCGTACTTTAGGCCCGTCTTTTCTACAAAGGCCACGGGCGCGCACTCCGTTAATCCATACCCTGGCAAAAGAAATCTCTTGAAAATGTCAACCAGAGGATAAGTAATATTGTACGATAAACGTATGTAAAAATATGTTGCCGTCGTCAACGATTTACCTTGGCAAAATTTGAAATTATTGTTGTCTAATCGAAACTTGTCGTAAAATCTTTCGACGTCCTCCTTCGAAAGCGGCGCCGCTCCGCTGAAAACACTTCGTACGTTCGAGAAATGTTCTCTTTTGGCTAACGGCGAAACTGACAGAAACAATATTACCGGCGGTACGCAAAACAAAAGCGCTGGCTAAAAGCATAAAAGAAAGTAAGCTTTTCTGATGCGTATCATCGACAAAATAATTATTTTCCTTTCTTCGATATTCGCAGTATACGTAACGTTCAATGTTGATTCAAAATATTTTTTACCTTTTGCTTGATGAAAGTGTCGAAAAACGTTTCCGGCTGGAATTTCGGAAGCGTAACGATCTTCGCTCCGAACGTGAGACTAGGCAGCATGATCACGTTCATGCCAAAAATGTGAAATAAAGGTAGAAATATTGGTATGACGTCTTGATTTTCATCTATAAGGAAAAAAAAAAAATAAATAAATTACAATCCCGTTCTGAAATAAACCAATTTTTTCTATTATACATGGGAATAAAATACTTCACCCGTCGCCATTTGAATCCACGTATCCTTATCAACGATGGCATTTAGCATTTCCATATTCGAGACTAGATTAGCGTGCGTTAGCATCACACCTTTCGGCAGACCCGTCGTCCCACTTGAAAAAGGTAAAACCGATACGTCGTCCATGGAACGGCTTAGGGCTTTCAATTCCGGTAAGTTCTTGCCGCGAGTTATCAAGTCCTAAAAATTTCAAATCGATTCGGGTTTACTTAACTCGTTCCAATTAAATTATTAATTAAGAATTGAAAATTTGATCGTTTCGTTCGTGTAAAGGAATAAGATACCTTGAAAGGTATCACCCCGTCCGTCATTGGACCCGGCGTTCCGTCGTCTATAACGATAAGGGACGATCCCAATCTGTAGTTCGTTGCTGCTTTCTTTACGATCGGTAATATCCCTTTCGCGGTGACGATACCTTTTGCACCAGACAACTCCAATTGCATCGTTATTTCCTCTATGATAGCGTGAAAAATATTTACGCGTTTAAATTATTCTTATACTTCTTCGGCTCAATCGTTCTAACGCCTCTCTCTCTCTCTCTCTCTCTCTCTCTTTACTTACCAACCGTGTAATGCGGATTGATAGTTGTAACGATGAGGTCCGCCTCCAAAATCCCGAGAAAAGCTAGAACCCATTCCGGGAAATTGGGAGCGATCAAGGCAATTATATCACCTTCCATGAACTTCAAATTCCTTAAACTCCTTGCAATGTAGTTCGCAGCGTCCCTCGTTTGCCCGTACGTATATTTCCTACCTGTTATACCGCATTCCTGAAAATCATCGTCGAATCAAAACTCCCGTCTATTTTTTCCAATAATTAGAAATTCCAACTTCCGACGGTAGCCGGGAGAGGAGAGTTACCAGGGCAATTAGCTTGGAAAATTTGTTAACGTTGCGCCAAATGTATTCCGATATCTTAGAATTCGGATAAGTAACTGCACCGAAAGGCGAAGGAATGATTATCTCTTGGTTTTGACCTCGGATAAATTTCTCTTTCGATCGCGCAAAGGTGCTCCTCGCTCCTAAATATTGTATTTTACTTGGTTCATCGTTTAACAGCGTCCGCTCGAATTTCTTGATGCCACGAGAAAGGTGCCTTAACGACTTCATATCTTGATAAGACTCTCGTCGTTGAGAATATCACCTGTCAAAAGAAAAGAAAAAAAAAAAAAAAAATAAGAAAAACGAATTGTAAGATATATACTAAATATAATTTCATTCGACCGAGTCTCGATTGAATTTCAATCGAATCCGATCGTTCATAATGTCTATAAAACGCTTAGAAGAAAGAAAATTAGAAAAAGTTGCTAATTTAAATGACATATCGTATGAGCGAGCGGAAATATTGAATAACTCGTTAAGCCGTTTTTTCTACCTATAAGAAAATTGTAGTAATTAAAATGTAAATAGAAGAGCTTCTACCTTGAAAGATTTACTCACTAGATATCGATCACCTTCGTTTCCGTTTAAACTGTTTCAGTTGCGAAAGGAATAATATCTGCGATCGAAATACAACAAGCGAGGAAATAATAAGGGGCAAAGTACAAAGACTATTTCTTATCGTGTTCTCGTCTCATAGCGACATATTATTTTAATCTTATCTCTTATCTTTCAAATTGGGGAATCATTTAAAATATTATTTATATATTTTCGATTTAATATTTTTCAAATGCGCAACGTTTAATAACGAGCAAGCTTGAGTGCACGTTTATTTTCCATCCTTTCGAAATGAAGCGCAATTCGATCGTCCTTTTATTCGACCGATCACGTTCTCGTTCGTAACTATAGAAATTTCGTAACGAATGAATGTTTGAAATGGAGGGAGACAGAGAGAGAGAGAGAGAGAGAGAGAGAGAGAGAGAGAGAGAGAGAGAGAGAGAGAGAGAAACACATATGCGATATTTCGTAATCGACCTTCACTTCCACGCTAGCATCTACAATAAACTTATTTCACGTAGTTCCATTACCGGGTAAATACCGTAGGACTTCCATTTCCAAAAAGAAAAACGTTTACGCAATATTATAGAATACCTTTCTTTTTCCTTTCGACGATAACTTAAGCTTCTATGTCTAATCAGAGAGATAAAATTTGAAAATTCGCGCGAATGCAGTTGGTAAACCTTCGACCGTGCTCCGCGCGAGATCGTTTTCTTTGACAGACTGCTGCATTCTCCGGCAAACAATTTAGCATTATCCTAATATTATCACTACGACGTAAAAAGAATAGATATAGGTTAAATGGTCATATACATCGAGCTTCTCCCCACCATTGAATTTTTAGCGATCGACGTTGTTGCAACGTAATCGTTGAAAACGTCAATTGCTTATCAACACGGATTTGTCTTATTTCATTTTTACTTTATCGTCGAGAAATAATATAATCTAAACGTACTTACGACGCAATATTAATATTAATTTCTAAAAAAGGAAAATTTTACTTGCTCCAGTGCGATCAGAAGTACAACTTTAAGTGGTTTTATCATCAAATGGCAAGATAATATACATATCGAGAATATTTTTAAATAAGATCGAATTATGTCATAAAATCCAATAGAATTTTTCGACGACCGTACCGTTCTATAACGTAGTTCGAACTAAGCGTTTCGCATAAATAATATAGTTTCGTATTTCGAAAGAGAATTGTATACAAATTGAATTTCCCTTACTCATATCTTCATTTCTACATGTAACGCCAGCGTAGCGCGTCCGTGAGAAAGAATACTTTTAATAGGTATTTATTAATTATCGTAACAGACGTTTTCGAACATTATTCTTATATTAATATTATTTGCTCGAATATTTATCGAAAACTTTTAATTACGCGTCCGTAATAAACTTTTGTTCGTAGTTGCGATAAACGGTTATTGCCAAAAATGATTAGCCAAATGTTATATTATAAATTTTTATCGAGATTATCGCGATCATTTATCGTTCATTAGTGTGCTAAAGGTAAAAGGAGAGTAGAATTAACGCTACTTTCATCCGATTCATTACATATAGGAAATAATCCTAGCTTAGTTACATAAGTTGGAAATAACAAAGAGCACATTCTTCGAATCTCATATAAAAATTTGAATTCGACGTTTATTCGTGGCCTGCGTTTACTCGCGCGTCTACCAACAACGATAGTTTTAGATGCGCCGACGCATATCCGACGACGCCGACGCCGACGACGGCGTCGACATCGACGCCGACATCGACGCCGACGCGATACGTCAAATCAGAGCCGTATCGTTCGTTTTAAGACTCGTGAAAATCCATCTAGAAATTGAATCCAACGAAACTTGAGTGTTTTCAACTTCACCGGAAAGAGAGAAAAGGTCGTCCGTGATGTTGCTCTTGACGAGGGATAAAGTAAAATTTGAGAGATTATGCAAGAGAATGGATGGGAAGGGAAGGGAAGGGAAGGGAAGGGAAGGGAAGGGAAGGGAAGGGAAGAAAAGAAAAGAAAGGAAAAAAAAGAAAAGAAAAGAAAAGAAAAGAAAAGAAGGAATAAATTAAAGAATGTAGGGGTATAGAAATTAACGATCGATAAGAAAAATGTCTCTATTTTATGTGAAAAAGATCGTTCTCGAACTTTAATTCTATTATGCAATTCGTCGCGTAACGGAACGGCGCGCGCGGAAAAATCTAAGAGTTGAACTAAGGATCAACGAATACGATTGATTCCAAGGAAAAATGAAGGAAATAAAAGTGATTGAGAGAAGAAAGTACGGGTCCATCGACGAATGGCGACGTCCCTGGGAGAAAGGGGCGAGAAAGGGGGCGAGCACGACGCCATGTCGACGTTCATCCTCTAGTTCGCTCTCGTTGCAGCCCTCGTCTAAAAGGCAAACTCGTGTCTGAAAAAAGTCGCGAAAAGGAAAGTTCGGAAAAAAAGGAGGCAGAAGGAAGGAAGAAAGGAAGAAAAGCCAAAGCTCGTAGAAATCACTGACGAAATCACTCTTGCACGAAGCATTGGGCTATGAATGAAGACCCAACCCTTTCATCTCGAGGTAATTAACTCTCTCGTCTTTGGCGATAAAGCTATCCGTCGATAATCCGTTCGCTCGCTCCGACCGGTCCCGTCGTTATATAGCGCAACTATGCCTACTTCGTTTCTTCTATCTCCAGAATTACGATAATTTCTAATATAACGTATCCTACATATATAAATATTCAAAAGTACGGAAAAATCTAATTTTACGAAAAAATTTTTTCATCGAGCGACCGAGGATGCAAAACCTTGTTTTATTCTTGTTTTATCCTTATTTTATCCTTGTTTTATCCTTCATACCTTAAAAGATAGCTAATACTCGAAAAATTCGTGCGGATCATCCTCGATACATTAAGTACTACGTAGTACAGATTTCATTGATCCCTTTCACTTCGATTCGACGTTCGAGTTTATACAGTCGCAAAAAATTTCCCTTTTTCTATTTCTTCCTTATCTTTTTCTCTTATCGACCATAAGGTACGAAAGAAAATCTATACGATTAAAGATCGAGCTCGTATCCCATCTTGTCGGAAGCGGCGAGCAATCATCGAAGAACAGAGCCAATATAATACGGACTCGTATTTTTGCAGGTTTTGGCAGTTTTGCTATTGTCAGTAATACCCTGGCCAGGTCCAAGTGTTTTTAAGATATCATGCCCCCGCGATCGTGCTTCGGTAGTGAGGAGGATAATTCACAAGGTGAGAGAAACATTTTAAGCCTGGCATTTTTCGATCGCGCGAGATGTGCTAAAGGACAAAGTTTTAAGCTTCGTCGAGATTTCAGAGATGGATGCCCATCCTAAAGAAATATCAAGTGGAGTTACCCTTAGAATGTCCCTTTCACGAAAGTCGAGACATCTTTCGACCTCAGCAACGAGCAAAGCATCAGTACAGACCGTCGCAATGGACCTGCGGCCTTTGCGGCAAGTCTTTTTATGCCGAAAGACATCTCGACGCGCACTTCGATAACAGACATAAAAGTAACGTTAATACGGTGAGTTATTGGTCTAATTTACATCGATAAGCTTTATATATCTATTTCAACTTGATATGAAAATAAGAGTCTTAATCTACAAATTAAATGCGTCCGTGGACTTCGCATTTTCATACTAGCGATATTATATGAAAAATCAAAATTCGCGTTATCTCCTCGATTCTTATTCTACAACGCGATAAAATATACGTCAATAATTATCATAAAGAAAAGATACGATAACGATAGCGCTAAATGCTTTCCAATCGATATCCATTTAAATGAAGAAACTTTTATCTTTCAACGAGTTCACTAAGAAGCATATTAGCGGATGCTTCGACATAAGGGTTTTACACTGATGTAGGGTTTTGCACAGGGTTTTGCACGTGACTGATAACCGATAAAAAAGGAGCGCACCAAGAGAGAGAGAGAGAGAGAGAGAGAATGGGGGGGGGTACCGACATTGACGACTAACGTCATTAATGACCGCGATTCTATATCAGACTTGTTTCGAAAATGAGATATCGATAAATAAGGTAAAATTGACTTCCGATTCGTGCTACAATAATCGATATATGTACTTGTTCTCGTTCCTAAATGAAAGGCGGAGGACGCCGTGTGCCTTGCCGACTACTGCGACATTATGAGATGCGACGTCTTGGGAAATCGTGACTTTGAAAGTTCGATGAACGATGAGGACGACGACGGCGGTCATCTCAACACCGACATACAGGTACACGAGACTTTGCTTCGATAAAAATACAATCGAGTTGGATAAAACTCGATCTAAGAAAGTTAATGCGATCCGATTGCGCAAAGGTGTGGAAGGAAAATACGGAACAGCGCAGTACGTCGGTCGTACCGTGTTCTCGAGACCTCGCAAGGACATATCGTCCTTCCTCTTCATCTTCCACGGATAAGTCGTGTGCGCTCGCGGCCACGAAAAACGACTTACAGCGTTCGTACTGTCGACGAGCCGACGCGGATGTCCTTAAAAATCATCGGCTCGCCGATTCCTCCTCTTATCGTCGCAACGAAATCGCTGGTCCTGAGAACAATAGCGACGCTTGCGACAATGACGACGAGGACGACGAGGACGACGAGGATGACGAGGAAGAGGAGAAAGAGGAGGAAGAGGAGGAGGAGGAGGAGGAGGAGGAGGAGGAGGACGACGACGACGACAACGACGACGGCGACGACGACGACGACGAGGAGAATCTAGTAGAAGCAGCTCTACCTGCCGTCGATAAAAGGCAAAGACGCAGAAGAATACATCTTAGGAAACTCAAGTCCAACTGCAAGCCTGAGGAACTTCAAAAGCTCAAGTTACAATGTGAAGTTAGCTTTTTCTCTTCATTTATTTCGCTCTAACTGATTAATCGCGCTATTTCCTTCGCAATGTTACTTCGAAACGTGAAAGTGATACCAAGAAGGAACAGCCTTAAGAACAAAAGTATTATCGTTAAAGTATGAAGTCGCGTTAGGATCGTACACGATTGCACGTTAAAGAGTGGACATCGAACTCGCTGTTAATCTCGAGCACGTTATTCCTGCTCATTTTCTCTCCATTTTAACAATTTATAGAATATATTTTTTATTTCCCATGAAACATCGGCGCTCCTCCTCTCGCACAGATAGTAGACAATACGGAATGACAAATTCGTTGATCGATTTTATATTATTTCTTCCCGTTTGTCCTTGCTCGATTCGTGACACATGTAATTCCATAACGCAATACACATATTTTGTCAAAATAATGATAAATAATGTAGCGCTTGATACGGCACTCAAAGTCATGTTGTACCTAAAAGAAAATTCTATTATTTACAAGCTTTTTGTCGACAGATACTCGTCCGCGATTGTATCGCAGGACTTCTCGCAAATCTCTCGGTTCGAGAATTCCAAGAAATCGAAGGTAGGTGTGACCTGATATGGATAATCCGTTTAACGCTATGAAATAGGATATATGTCGAACGTATGTTTCGAAAGAAAAAAGAAAAGATTTATAGCGTTTATTTCTTTGCTCGTCAGGTGAACTGAACCGGGCGATCTGTTGGTATTTGAGTTGCGATAGATACTGGGAAGATACCAAACGGCAACAGCGTCAGACACCTTGGTATCTGCTCGCTACGTTTATGGCTCTTTTCTGCACCTCGATTTATGCCTGCTATTACGTCATCTGGGTTCTCTTCAAGTATGTAGTACGTTCACTGAAACTCGGTAAAAACATGATATAAAATAATATTTTATCCATGATACTGGCACAGATAGACTGACAGGATCGATTTTAATTTCTCGTTGTGTACCTTCTTGCAGTACCACGGACGAGGAGAGACTCGATCATACGGGAACTTTAGGTTACAATGATGGAAGTCTTACGGGTGCATCATCGTTGCACGATCAGAGCGGTCATGGCGATGGTAGATCGGTAGATAGACGAAAAATGGAAGGAGGAGACGATAATCTAGTATCTACGAACGAAGAAATGCCGGATCACTACATATACGTCGCATATCCACCGGAACTGAAACGTCGTCTCTTGGAAAGGTATCTCTTGGAACTTTATACAGGCTTCCTCTTTGATTACGTACGTGCATATGTATGAACAACATATGTACAAATCGATCGATGCAACGTTAGCGAGTACTTCTTTCCGTAGCTGCTACAACAGGACTACCAGACTATGAGACTGAAACGAAAGAAGACGATTGTTTCGTATTCATCTTGAGAACAGGACTGCGCTGCGAATGAAGGCACTCTCTTCTCTCTCTCCTCTCTCTCTCTCTCTCTCTCTCTCTCTCTCTCTCTCTCTCTCTCTCTCTCTCTCTGTCTCTTCGTGTTTTGTATACCAAATCTACTCGAATAAATTGCAAGGTACGAGAGGAATCTTCCATCGTAGAAACAACCGAAAGAAAGAGTTATAGCAAAAAGACCGGCTTTAAAGTCTTTCGCAATTGAACCTAAAACATGTTTTATTTGTCAGAAAGAAAAAAAAGAAAAGGAAAAGAAAAATAGAAGAAAAACGAGAAGACACTATGGTAATCTTAAAAAATGCAATTTTGTATAAAGTAGGAATATCGGACTAGATAGACTAATAATGGACCCTATATATGAGTATCTCCGAGTCTAAAACCAATATGTCATCTTTATGGAACCATCGGAGTCACGCTGAGTGTCCATCACGCTCGATTGCCGAACAAGCCGGCGAACGCTCGCACCGGTCGGTCGTTGTTGCTCCTCTAAAATTCTTTGCGATATCGCTTGTGTCGATGTAGTTTGAGCTATTGGAAGTTCGGGTACCTCGTGCATCTCGACGGTTTCTCTTTCCGACAGGTCCTCGTAGGAAGCCGCCGCCGATGAAGGTCTAAGGATAAAAATCATTAATTCGGACGCTTATCCTTCCGAATATAAAAGAAAATAATAATAACTGTCTACGAAGCCTACTTGGTAGGTATGCATCGAATACAATCGGCACAGGTCCAATCCTTTCCAAAGAGTTCTCCCTCCTCCACCGTTTGCGGAAGTCGATGGTGTAGAGTTTCCGGTAACCGTAAACCCGAAAGACCGCCGATCACCGAGACGCAACCTAAGATCACCAAAGGCAACACTAGATTCTCCTTACCCTGTAAATCAAAGCATATTCTGTAATAAAGAACACTGTCTCAACTCGTCTCTTTTATTTCCATTCGTTATCACGTTCGGCTCATTATATATTACGAATTATATTTAAATGCAACTTACCAAATACGTAACGAACGGTATGATGATCAAACCAAGACCGCTGATGTAAGCGGAAAAACCAATGGCAACGCCGCGCAATTGCGTTGGATAAAGTTCACCGGCGAAGGGATATATTATCAAAAACGAGGCCGATATCGCGGATTTCGAAAGGAGAAACAGGATTAACGTGGCTACGACGGCGTCTGTAAGGAAAACGAAAAAAGAAAAAGAGAAAAAAAAAAAAAAAAAAAAAAAAAAAAAAGACAAAAATGTTTAACAAGAATCCATAATATTTCTCTATAATATAGAGGAATATAGTATTTAACGGATATAGCTCGAGTAATTTGTAGTTTCGTCGATCGATGGGAATTATTACTACCTGCAGAGAGTAGAACCGTGGCTATGCAGGAAACACCGGCGACGACCATGCAGAGACACAGGGGCCATCTGCGACCCCACCTATCCATGACTATCCAACAAGCCATGTAACTGGGAATTTCGGCCAACGAAGAGAAAAGAAAGCTGAGATGTTCTTCGCTACCGAGGGCAGGTCCGTAATAAGACAATCCAACGTATACCATATTATTGGCGAACCTGGCGATCGATCGAATAAAACGAAAAAAGAAATGTGAAAAATGAACGTATCTCCGTCGTACCTGAATGGAACAACGCGTTAGAGGATGACATATGTATATAGGTATGTCGTATGAGAGATAAATTGTGGCGCACCAATTTAACGTGATAAGGCAAGTTTTTAAACGCATATTCGGCGTTTTAAAGAGAGACAAGACGCCTGGTCCGTTGCGTAGTCTTTCCTCTTCGCTCTTCGATCTCGACATCATCATACGTTGGCGAAGCTTCTGCGTGAACGAAGCTGGAAGTTCCTTTCCATTGACGCGTGCCAATTTTTCGAGAATATCGTTCGCCTCTACCAAACGACCCTTCGCCAATAACCACCGAGGAGATTCCGGAAGGAACCTACAATTTTGTCTCTTTTTCCTTTTCACAATTCTTTAAGCCCCAAAAATTACGTGCTCGTAGGAATAGATCGAGACAACGATCGGCATAGATGATTCGCTTACCACCAATAAGTGAAATACAATAGAAAGGGCGCGCTCGTCGTAATCGCGAGTGTTCTCCAATCTCTTATCAAGTACGTAACGCCTGCCAGCATGCACAGACCCATCGTGTAGAAGCTGCACGTCATCACTGTCACGAACGATCGATAATTAGGACCGACCAACTCCAAAGCTAAAAAGAATGACTTTCGTAATAGGCATTTTTTTATTTGATCTTACGCCCAACGGATACTTACGATATTATTACTTACATATGATAAAGGGTATTTGATAGATGGCGGGTATAGTTAAACCGACTACCATTCGCGTAGCTGCCCACGTCCAAAAGCTGTTGGATATAGACGTGAGAAAACCACCGGTGATCAACGTCGCCAAACACGTGAAGAAGGACAGTCTACGACCGATTCTGTAAATATAGAATGTCGTTTTGGAGGAAACGAGGAATAGATTTAACGGCGACGACGACGACGACGACGACGACGACGACGACGACGACGACGACGAATGGAGGCTTTACGAAGGAGGGCATTAAAGCGATATAATCTTATGCTGTCTCGTTTCGAGCCTTAAAATGGCCGTAATAATATTTGCCTAATATTGGCTATTATATATATTGGCATTCGTCGGTTAGAACGGAATTTCGAAAGCTCGAGACATAGTTTATATTATTCCTCGTTAATAACGTTTAAGAAGCAAAAGCTCTCGTAAAATTCGATTGAAAGCAAATATATCTAATAGTAAGATTAAAACTGTAATTACCTGTCGTTCAAAGTACCAAAAAGATAAACTCCTATAGGTCCACCGGTATTAAGTGCAACCAGACCGATCGTTGGATAAATAGCACGTTCGCAAACGAGATCAAACTGTAACGCATTTAGAGAATCCTGTTAATCCGAACGTCGATAGTCGGACGATAGCGTAAGCGTCTTTACGTACGTCGATGACTATGGATGATGTGACCTCCGAAGTCTCGTATTCCCAACCGTGATCGCAGGGTACGATAGACCACGAGGAGTTCGTCCTCGAGCTGGACGCGTTCTCCGCCGTCCAGTCTACGTCGTATCGCGTGCATTGGCTGTACGTCTCGTTGTCGTCCTACCATGAGAAGGACACTTCAATATTGTCCCGGACATAAATCTCCTTATCGTATCCTTCATAGTCGGAGGAACGAATAGAGTAACGCCCTCGAGGAGAAATCGGGTACATGAACGTGTATAATGGAGTAAGAATAATATCGACTGAGGTTACAAAGTGCTGTACGATTTAGCATTACATTATAATACTGCGACTTGCACTTGGATCGAAACGATAAAGCGATGTCGGATAAATAAATGTCTTCGTTTCGTGCTACGGGTTTAGATGCTGTTATAGATGCGGGTTTGGGTTACGCGCGTTTGAACACGCGTTTGAGGACGAGAGAGCCGATTTCAAGCGAAAAGAATATATCGTTTCGACTATAGGGGCACCTGACTGGTAGGAATGCCGAGTCTCCTTCTCCGGGAGACATCCATATTTTCCAGTCCGGGTACTTTGCACCAATGCGCCGGTGTGTCCGCCATGAACAGTTGATTGAAGGCGCAAAAGCCGCAAGGCAAGCACGCCGGTAGGCATACGAGCCAGAGCAGCTGCTTCTGATAACGGCCAAATTCACCGACGATCGGCAAGAGATCGTCCAGATCGAATCCCTCCTATGATGACATCAGGGACGCTCTACTTTTAACTTAATAAGTATATCTTCCAATTCGATGGTATGAACGAATATCGTTGATTTCTCTTAACTCGTTCGACAATGGATTATTACGTATGATATAACGGACGATCGAGGGAAACGAAATGAATGAAAATAAAAAGATTTCTCAAAGTTGAGAAAATACACATACGGTCATTTACTTACTTCGTCGTTGCTTTTTTTCGCCTTTTCATCGACGTTGTTGGCATCCTGCCGCTGGTAATCATCGACTTGCTGCATTTTCGCAAACTTTGGTCTACTTCGCGTTACCAAAAGCTCGGCGATACCTTAGAACGGAGTCACGTGAGATGCATTAGCCCCCTCCCGAGGAAGATTCGAGGGAGATGTCAGGTGTTGCATCTTGCTCTTTTTCCTTTCCACCCTCGCAACCGCAAACGACGATGCACTTGGCTTCGCCTACACCGTTTTCTGCTTGGACACGGAACCAAAACGTCAATCTACCGATTTTCCTTCTCTTTCCCTCCCCCTCCCTCTCTCTCTCTCTCTCTCTCTCTCTCCCTCTCTCTCTCTCTCTCTCTCGCTCGCTCGCTCGCTCGCTCGCTCTTACTCTCTTCTACCCTCTCACTCTCTATCTTCCATACAAACAGGCACTTTCTCAATCTCTCTTACTCTTTTCTCGATTTTGTTCGAGCAACTTCGACCGTGCGAAAAGTGATAAAAATTTAGAGGGACGTAGGGGGAAGAGGGAGATCGATGCAAGATGACTGAAATATTTAGACTACAGCATTCGCCGACCTAACGAAAAAGCAGATACATAGATGTTTTCATATATTTTTCCAATGGTTGTGTGTATTCTAACATTGATCGATACTACCTGAGTATGTAGATGTGAAAAAAAATTGTTGGGTGTACTAGGATGACTTACCAAGAAGAGATCGTTTGTCCGAAATGTAGCACGTAACATTCCACGCGATTTTCTTCGGTGTATATATCGTAAGGAACTATTCGAACGGGAATGAAACGATCTCGTCGATTTTACGACAGTTGGAGAAACGGACGAAACGATTATCGGCCCCGAACGATTAACTCTCCTTTATAAGATTTTAATCAAACGAACAAGAATGGAACTGCAAAGTCGTTCTTATGCAGCGCACGTACGAAAGGTAGAGAGAAAACCTGGCAAGTGCATCGAAACGATGGAAAACGATACGTGTAGCATGCCCTTCTAATTCAATTGGGTTAAGGGTATTTAGAGGAGATTAGGAACACTGCTGACATACGCTGTGTGTAGCAAGCAGCTCCTATTCACCGTTCGACATTTTCAACTCTCCTCTCTCCCGCCCTCTCTCACCCTTGAGAAAGATTTTTACAATTATTTTCTTAAATACGTCGACGATCGATTTTAAAATGTGACAGAGGAGGGCCAAATAAAGAAGGAAGAAAAAAAAAAAAAAAAAAAAAAGAAAAAAAAATGAATTTAACATAGAAGTCAATGCATTTTAAAAAAGAAAGAATGATCCTTGGTAATAATGATGGGCGACCACCGGCGTTCGTGTGTACGTGTATTTCGAATGAAATTTTATTTTCCGACAAATCTCTGCGTCGGAGGAAAAAAGAATCATGCAAAGACGTGGAAGCAATTTGCATTCCATTGATCGTGAAATCTTCTCTCTTTTCTTTTTTCTTTTCTTTCTTCTTTTTTCGATTAAAGAGTACAATAGATTTACGTAAACGCTTCTTTTTGCTTCCTATTTCTTTTTTCTTCGTTCTGTTCGTGTAAGTGTCGTAAGGATAATAAATCGAGGTGGTGAATTAGCTGTTGTTATGACTTGGAATTATATGGCACTGTCGCTTGGCGATTCGTATAATCCGTTCTTACACTCGATGGTACAATCGGTCACATTAACGTTTACGCGCGATGATATGCCACTGTTAATACGATTGCGCAACGATAATCCATTCCGTAGAAAAAAATCTTTGCCAAGCTTTTTTCACTCCAACGCCAATCGCGACCCGTTTTATCGCCGCAAGAATGACGAGGTATATCATTAATGTGACCGATTATACGCGTTAGGCACACTTTCCCCAACAACAATTGTTCACAATCATCATCATCAGCATCATCCATCAGCATCATCATCATCCATCAGCAGCATCATCATCGATCTCACACAAGTAAGCTACATAGCCGAAGTCACATAATCGTTGTCAAGTGTAAACCTTCACAAGCGCACAGACTTCACGAATCACACGACTGTCACAACAAACTCATAAAAGGAATAAAAGATATAACTCGCATCATACGGACATGCCACACCCTCTCCCATAGACTTTTTTTTTTTCCCATATTCCTTTGCTTCTCTTCTTCGTATAACTTTTGTTAGACTGCTCGGTATAAAATGCTCGGGAAAGAGAAAAAAAAACAAAAAAAGAAAACAAAACAAAAAAAAAAGATCAAGGATTCTCTTTCCTTCAGCCTATAAAGTTCTCCGATAAACGTATAAAATAAAATTTGTTCTTTTTCTTCCTTTCTTAGTCTCACGTAAACGCATGAACGCTTTCTCTCTTTGATCACATTTTTTTCCTCCCTCCCTCCCTCCCTCCCTCCCTCCATCCCTCTCTCTCTCTCTCTCTCTCTCTCTCTCTCTCTCTTTCTATTTCTTGCACTCTCTCTCTCTTCAAGCATACCTCAATATTTCATCCTAATATGACTATCGATGCGTTTACCGCTCTATAAGAGGAATTTGACGACTTAACGCGTTATTCTTATAAATAATCTCCATATTTCGTAACCGAAAGTGTACGTACGAGCAAAATTCGCTTATGTTTGATTATCTGATTCTTCGAGAGATACGAGTATTTTGGAAGAATCGAAATTCTCGAATCATCTCGAAAAGGATTCGTCATTTTAACAATATAGAATAAAAAATAGAAGAGTAGGCCATAACCATTATGTCTTTGTCACATTGTAAATGCCAATTTCTATTAATCATATTCCTCCTGAGAGGATCTCGACGAAAATTTGTATATCGACCGATCGACAAGATTCGATAAAAATTTGGAGAGGGTGAGCAAAAATAGTGGCAGGCCAAACGGACTTCATTCATCGATTTCATTTATTATACTTCAGCCCACGTTTATCATCATCGCTCTCATGAATTTTCACATTCGCAATTATAATCTTAATCCGATCATCGATCGGCATCATCACTATCAACATCATTCTTCATTCTCTGTTGCACCGCATAAAACACCCATTCACTCATTTCTCCTCTCATTTATTTTTGGAATTTTTTTTTGTTTGCATCTTCGCGATTTTCATTTTTCCATCCTCCGACGATCGATACGGAAATGGTAGAGAACAAATTATGGACGAAAAAATATCAAGGTGAAGGTTAGACTGAACCATTTCCGTACGATGTCGATAATTTTTCTTTTTTTTTATCTTTCTGGATATATTGGACTCGTGTTTCGTACGTAACATAATATCGTGGCGAATAGTGAAGAACGGTAATTATGGCGTTTCAAGATTCTTCTTAAAATAATTGTTTAATATCACTCTTTAAATGTGTCAAATATAATTTAATGTAATTAATATCAATGCGTTCTCGGTTCTTTTCTATATAAAACGTTAATAATAAGATGAAAGAAAAATTGACAATTAAGAAATCGCTATTTCGTGTACAGTTCCCGTATTTATCTCGCAACGATAGAAAATGTATATTTCATTTAATCTTTATTTGACTCCTCTCTTCCCCCATAGGAATTTTCGTATTTTTGTTTACACATCACGACGACCTTCGACGTCGCGGTTCACGGCGAATCACGAGCCAACTATCTCCTTTTCTTTATTTTTTTTCTCTCTCGCTCATCTCTCGTTCGTTCATTGCTCACGATACGCAACACAACTCGACGCATAAACGTACCCACTTTCTCTCTCTCTCTCTCTCTCTCTCTCTCTCTCTCTCTCTTACTGTATCTTTCGCGCTTTTTCTCTCTCTCTCTCTCTCTCTTTCTCTCTATCTTTCGTTCTCTCTCTCTCTCTCTCTCTCTCTCTCTCTCTCTCTCTCTGCAACACCCTTGTCAATCGTTTACTTCATTAGCGCACATCATCACTGATACAGCGTAATGCACACGCTTTCTTCTATATATTTACACGCTCTCACTTACGTACCCTATGAAAGCATCGCACGCACTCTAAGAGTCTCGACGATGAAAGGCTAACAACTAATAGTCGACAAGACATTTTTAGCGTACAAGTTTATGCGAGAGCACGATTCCTTTAGCCTTTCTTTTTCATCTTCTTTTTTTTCTCTTTGTCATTGTCATCGTCGCACACGCCTCTTCGTATCCCTCGATCTTTCGAAAGGCAAAAAAGAGTATAATCGGTAACAACGTTCGTTAAAAAAGAAGCCCAACGAAACAAAAAAGAAGAGGAACAAAATTTCTTCTCGGAACCGTGCTCCCCTTCAGGATCAAAACATCGAACCCTCGCATAAGAGAGTCACTCCAAAAGAATCACAGTCGCGGTTTAGATTTGTATTTTTATTTACTTTTTTACGTTCCCCCATCCATCTTTCTTTTTTTTTGCAACTCGATCTTACGACGCACAGCCGACCCTTAAGATTCTCGGCCATCTTCCGACCGTTTACGACGATAGATGTATGTATTTGTATTTTCGATATCCATTTTTCCACGTTCGTTCTTTTTTTTTTTACATTTTACATTTTCATCCTATCTCTCTCTCTCTCTCTCTCTCTCTCTCTCTCTCTCTCTCTCTCTCTCTCTCTCTCTCTCTCTCTCTCTCTCCCTCTCTTTTTCCCTCTATCTCTCGCGTTTCGACGCAATACGGAAAAGGTAGATCGCCTCGAGGACATGGAAACAGCTTCGAACTCTGGTGGACGCGCGTCTTTCGGTTCGCAAACGCGATAACATCATTTTCTATATATTTCTCTTCTTTCTTTTTTAACGTTTCACTTTAGTCCTTCAAACAATGGAAATATACGGGGATGTAACGTTTCAAATTTGACTCTTTGCGATCGCAACAAATCGAAAGGTACGCGCATTATTACGGATGTTAATTATAAAAAATATATGTATATTATTATATATCTCCTATGATATATGAAAAAAATATTTGACTTTAGATATATAAAAAATATAGTGTATATGAATTTTCTTCTTTCGGGTCTGAGCAGAACTATTTTTGACGCGTGCATGTGAAGAAAGAGCGCGTCCACCGGCGAGTCGATAACGAGAACACGATAATCGGCGGTAAATGTCGAAAAGGGACCGCTACGCGTGCACTTGGCCGTTTCTTCCTCTCTCTCTCTCTCACTCTCTCTCTCACTCTCTCTCTCTCTCTCTCTCTGTATATGTATACGCGCATATGCGTTTCTCACTTTGTGGTTTACGTTCGATAACGGCACGGTACGGAACAACAACCCGCGTTTCGATTCTAGGCCCGTGACGATTCTTTGCTTTTTCTTCTTCTTTTTTTTTTGTCGTTTTTTTACTTTTTTCTACTTTTTTTTTGTTTTTTTTTTTCTTTTTTTGTTTTTTTTTTTTTTTTTTTTGTTTTTTTTTCTTTTCTTTTCTTTTTCTTTAATATATCGTCTGGACATGAAAGCACGACTTTTGATAACGAATCGGAAGAATGTGCAAGCGATCGAGTTTTCTGCTAAAAACACGAAAAGACCCACGACGTCTATCTGCCCTCACCATCGTATCTTTCTCTCTCTCTCTCTCTCTCTATTTTTCATACACTTCACTTCTTACTCACTTTCTCACTTAATTTCCTTTCCAAGAGTCTCTCTTCCATTCAATTCTCTCACGTCGTCACGTTTTCTCTCATATTCCCTAAACACACTTTCTCTCTGTCTCTCTCTCTCTCTCATTCTCACTCTACCTCACTGATACGTGGAATGTTCAAGAAAAAACAATACTTGCACTTCGGCGTCGATCGATTTCGATATTCCAATCGATTCGATTCAAAGGTTCGTGATCAGACGTATTATATCAACGCAATTTTTGAAAAATTCTAATTCGAACAAATTTTCTCTTTCGTTCGTTTCCGATTCTGATCGTCACCGAAGAATCTAAGAATATTTTTTCTTTTATTTTCTTTTTTTTTAGATTATCTCTTGCTTTTCTTGAAAAAATTAAAGCGTGATATGTCTAACGTATACTACTACGCAGCGTACGAAGCAGACTTTAAAAAAATCACAAGAGCGAAACAAGTAGAATATATGGAGAAAAAAAAAAAACAAAAAGAGGAAAGGTTTTCCACCGGCAATAGTATTTGGAATGCATGGCACAACCATAGTCGCGTATCAAACGTAGATTTTATCGCGCGTTAATTTGGCCCTTTTTCTTTTCTCTTTTGGCATTTAATTTGTTTTCTTTTCTTTTTTTTTTTCTTTTTTTTCTTTTCTGAGCGACCTACCCTGCGCTCGAATCTTCTCTAATCGCGCGAAAATACATTTGCCGAAGAGAAAAAAAGGGAGGGGGGAAGGGAAAGATTCGACGAGTTTTCCAAGGAAGAAATAACTTCTAACGAGGGAAAAGAGGATGATACACGACGTTAGAGTTCCGATCTGACTCGTGAAACTCGTTCGGTATTTGAAATATCCCAGTTGGATAAAAGGCACCATCTAGAATCAAGATTCCAATTTCGTTGAAAGAATCGATCGAGATATTTCGATGCTGAATCGAATCGTTATTTTCAACGTAGACTCGATTTTATTTCGTCTAAAGGATTACACATTCTTGAGGTAAGGACACTGGGCTATGTCAATTACCCTCTACGCACATTTATGCGATCATAATACCACACATCGAACGAGTACTCTCCACTTTCGTTAGGAGCCACGAATCCAGGAAGACGATATTTATTGTTATAGTAGTGGTAGTTGTTGTTCGCGAATTACATAAACGATAAAGAAAAACATTGCAAAGATATGTCTCGCATTTGAAAGGAAAAGAAAAAAAGAAAAGGTCGAAAAATCTCGTTTAGAAATAAACGGTAGTAAGTAGTAAGAGAATAGATTCGATGGCAGTGGAAAATGTACCCCCTTCTCTTTTTAATCGTTTTACATATGCGACAAGTAAAAACCGATCGGTGAATGATTGTACTATGATCGCATAAAAACTTGTTCCATTTGTCTCTCTAATTTACTACGTATGTCAGAAGCGGAGATGGAGTGCGGTCGTCTTTTTCTCCCGGTTTAGGCTAGACAATACAACTAAATCACTTGTTGCCAGCAAAATATTAATTTTTAATGAATCAATAGCAACAGACATTCGCATACGGGGGTGGGGGTGGGGGTGGGGGGGTTCAGGGTGGGAAATGAACATACACATCGTCGTACAACGGATCATTGGATTCACGCGCAAAACGATCGGATCAGGGGTTAGCAGCTTGTCGAATCTTCTTGTATATTTGTTTCTTTGTTTAACTCAGTCTCTCGTTCTCTCTTCGTCACACTCGCTCTCGTTCAGACTTGCTGATTAATTCACTCCTTGTATCACATGATCTCACAGCAAAGTTTTCAGACATACTAAAATAACAAGTACACGCCTCGCATCCTGAGCATTACTCTTACTCGCGTGAGTCGCGATACGATTCTTACTGTGGGAGTTTAATCAAGAATCCACAGGAGTAAGGGGTATAGTATAACGTCGTGCGACGTGCGTAAACAAGGATACACATAATTCGACTAAAATTCTCACAGCCTCTCGCACTGTCGCTCTCATACTCTCTCATATCTCTCTCTCTCACACACACACTCATACTTCACATATTCCATTTCACGTATTCTCTCTCTCTCTCTCTCTCTCTCTCTCTCTCTCTCTCTCTCTCTCTCTCTCTCTCGTTAGCTCGCTTGCTTGCTCGCTCGCTCGCGCGCACGCTCTCAGTTCGCTCGTGTTTCATCACTTACAACATCTCGCACTCTCTTTCACCGCCCAGTAACAGCGTCCATCGAAGTCGCCCTCTTTCTCTCTCTCTCTCTCGTACGCTCGCTCGCTCGCTCTCTCTCTCTCTCTCTCTCTCTGTCTCTCTCTCTCTCTCTCTCTCTCTCTTTCTCTCTCTCTCTTTCTCTCTCTCTCGTTCGCTCGCTCTCTCAGATTCAACTTCACACGGAGGTCTCAATCACGCGGATAGAAGCCGCATACTCGATTTTCAGGCATACTTGCATCACGGGAACATCTCAGCAGGCCTCGGCCCTGGCTCACTCATTTTGGCATCATCCACTTGCACTCGTATTTTTTAATCATCTATTGTCGGTATCCGGCAGACAGGTATTTGTCTCTGTCGAGCATATGGGCTGTGTTCGACCCTGTATACCCTCGCCGGTACCCTCGCATACCGTTGCCAGACAGGGACACGTGCAGACTCATCACCCCATCCTCATCGCTTCGGAACTCACGCACATCCATCAACTCGCATCCGCAACATCCAATCTTGTTGTCTTTGTATTGTTTGATAGCGTTCTAGTCAAATCAAATTGCACGACAGTACAACCGTGGGCTGATCTGTAAACAACAAAAGCGAGCCAAATATCAGTGACCGTCGCCCGCGAAAAGTGGGAAAGTAGACTACTTTTTTTTTTTTTTTTTTTTTTTTTTTTTTTTTTTTTTTTTTTTTTTTTTTTTTTTTTTTTTTTTTTTAATACATCGAGTATCTCTCTCACTTTAATTTTTTGTTTAACGCGACGTACCTAGGCGCGATCGTGCGAGTCTAGAAGAAAAAGTAGAAAGCACGTGGATGCTCTAATCTTGTCTTGAATGACCCTTTGTCTTCCCCCCCCCCTCTTACCCACCCACCCTTTTACACACACACACACACACACACACACACACACACACACAGGCTCGAACATATTCCCTCTTTTCTCACACATATTCTTTCTCTCCTACTTTCGTGCGATAACAGATGGCACGAAATGCATACGAGGAAGAGCTGAAAGGGCAAAAAAGAAAAAAAAAGAGAAAAATGAAAAAAGAAAAAAAAGAAAAGAAAAAAAAACAGAAAGAAAAGACGATTCGAAGACATTTCACACACGCGCGACAAGCACATGCACGCGCGCGCACGACAAAACACACACACACACACACGCGGACAGCAGCAGACAGGCGCACACACACACACAGACAGACAGACAGACAGACAGCAGCAGACACAATGTACACTTTTGTACGCTCGAGGACGTTGCATCGTAAAACTATCATGCTTGTAGATTTAATAAATGAATACTCACCAACTGGACGTAGTGTTGTTAGCAGTAATCTTAGCCTTTCGTATCTCCTTAAGGGCCCAAGTGGCCAACGTCTTCGTTTTGCTGTTACGCGATTTCTTGCCCTTCACTAATAACTCGTTAAGCGGCTCGGTGTCGACCATCGGCAATAATTTCGCTCCAAAAACGCTGACGAGATCGCCGATAAGGCCAAGCGCAGCCGATATGTTACCATCGGAATGCTCCCGATCTTGGGCAATCAAAGTAATAAATTGAATGATGTACGGCACATGCGGTTCGACCAAAGCGATCTCCTCCGGGCATGTATTGTTTGTAGATTCACCACGGAAACCCTGCACTATCCCTGTATAAGCCTCCAATACGCCCTCGCGTAATTCGTTAAGATAATCGACCATGTCGTAATCGGATCTATCGACGTTCGCCTGCGAGGCCTGTACCAACGTTTGCAAGACAACGTCTAAATACTTTTTGAATTCTATACCGATACTCAGGGCTATGTCGCCAAAGACCGAAAATATTTGTGGCTTTACAGAACGATGTACCGTGTTGTTTCCTAAATTCTCCAAAAGAAGAGTCATTATCTCGTCGCAATATGGAATGATCTTGCTCTTAAGAGCACGACATATATCACCGGTAAGGCCTACGGCGACGCAACATACTTGATACTCGGCATGATTTTTCAGGCCGAGACAGAGGTAAGGCTTAAATACGTTCATATATTTCAAAAAGCGCTCTCCCAAAACTTCGACCAAAGTCGAGACGGCCATAAGAGCGTCCTCCTGGACGCCACCGGATTTGCAAGAGTTCGAATTGAACATCGACAATAGGGCGGTCATTATAACGTCCGATATCTGCGGCGCGTCTTCCGGTGTTACCTTACGTAATACGGACTGTAGGGTGGCGCATAGCAATGATTGAAGATCGTTGTATTGGGCTCGATCCGAATGACTTTGTATGTGCGTTTCCATTTGCAATACTTGTTGCAATCTTTCCAAAATGACCATCGTCGTTTTTTGCACGGTAACGTAACAATCCCGTGGGGAATTTTTCACCATCTCCATCAGTGCTTCGTACGCCGCGGATCTCAAGTTCGCTTGGGCCCCGTCCGGTCTGTCGGTAGTCTCCAATAGTCTCTGAATTATGAAATCAAAGTATTGCGACATACAATAAGTTTCTGGCTGTTGCTCGTCCTCGCAGGCCGAATCGTAACTCGCTTGGGCAAGACCCGTGAACGCCCAGCATACGTTCGCAGCGACGCGAGGTTCTGCCTTCAGTCCGTTTACCAAAGATTCCAATAAAGGTTTCAAATACGTCTCGTTAATGGCAGCTTCTGGAATGATCTCGCAAATACGTCCGAATGTCCATGCCGCGGTGTCCCTTACGACAACGCTACTGTCGTACATCAACTCGATGAGCGTTTGCATTGCCTGCTCTACCAATGGTTTCAATGTGGTAGGCTCTACGCCACCGAGGATGGAACCGAATGCCATTACGGCTGCGTCTCGATATCTCCAATCGTGACTCTTGATATTATCCTTGACGAATGGTAATACGAACGGAACTATAGCTTCTTCGCAACAAGTTGAAAGCAGCATCAAGCATACACCAGCGGCTTTCGATGGATTCCAATCGTCCTCGTCATCGAATTCTTCTTGTTTCGTTAATTTTTTCATGAGTACCGGTACTAAAAATTGTAAAGCACCTTTCGCGTAGTGCCTTGAAACCTTTAATGGTGGTCGACCAACTTCAGAAGCATCTCCTTCTTCCAAGGCTAAATCAACTTCTTCGTCCGACACATTGGACCAAAATTCAATTCCCTGCAGTGCAACCTCGTCGATATCCGACTTCATAGCCTCCAGAGTAATCTGTGCGAGATACGAGATGTTTGCCTAATTTTTATTAATAAAAAAATACATAGAATATCGAAGCATTACTTACAGGAAACAATGCTGGTGCCATGTAAAGTTCCATATACTGATAATACAAAGACATAATTTTGACGAGACATTGTAAAGCCGCTACTTTAACTTGCGTATTTGACGATTGTGTCGCTTCGCACACTACTTCCATAATAAAGTTCCTCTCGGACTGTAAATATGACGGTACAAGAAAAATTGTATATATATATATAAATATATGTATATATGTATATATATATATATATATATATGCGCGCATGCATGCACATGTATGTATGTATGTATGTATGCGTGTGCGCGCATATGTATGTGTAGAAGTACGATAGATAATAAAAATTAAATTATTAATAAATAAATACGGACCTCGATTTCAAAATTTCCTTTAGTAAATTCTAAGGAATTATAGAGCGCGCTCGTAGCTGCAAGTCGTACGTGATTGGACGTACTGGAACCTTTCATGCCATGAATAATTGCTGTGAGAATTTGGTTAGACTGCGATACCAAGACTTCGCTTTCTATTTCTTGACAAATGTAACCGATAGTCTCTAAAGTAGCTTCTTTCATCATTTCCGTACTATTAGGATTAACCACATTGTTTACTAATAGAGGAATTAAATTGCTCCATTGACCAACTGGCAATTCGGCAACAGCGACATAAGCTACGCACTGTGCTGCAGAGCTCGGCCTATTATTTTCAGTTCCTAATGCTCCCAAAATCTATAACAAGGATTATTCTTTCGTATAAAATACTTACACTAAAGTGTCAAGTATTAGGTAGCACTTGGAAACAAATATGCGTTATACGTTACAATGAAAAATATAATAAAGTAGTATACGAGACGCTATAATTTCTAGACTATTTTTTTTTTTTTTTTTCTTTTCCTTTTTTTTTCTTTTTTTGAAAGAAAACCAGAAAGGCATATCTTATCTCGTACATTTTTCTTGATATATTCCCTTGTTTCGGCAGGGATAGCCAACCAACGTTGCTGGTACTGATACTTTAGCGCCTGATCCTTCGAGGTAAGTTGATTTTTTAATTGTAGCCCAGCTGCCATACGAGCCACCGGACTGGCTGTTGCAGTAACCAGTACTCCGCTGAGCCGTTGAACAAACTCATGCTAAAATATGAGAAATTTGATTAATATGATCTGATTCAAGTCTACATTACGAATAATTGAGCTTATAAAGATACTAACAAAATTGGATTGTGCCGCCTGTTCCAAAAAATTTTCCGCCGCTTCCAATTCATTTTTGTCTGAAAACACATATTGAACGGTTAAAATATCGGCAGGAAAGATTTAAAGCGGTATCGCAAGGTCAAAGGTATGTCTCCAACTCATTGAAACATTTTATAGGTTAGTCATAGGCTAGATAGATCGGTTCGTAGAAGGGTATTTTATTCGATAAAAGCAGAAGATGGCCAAAGCAGGATGGCCATCGTCGACGACGAGAACGAGTAACCGCCGGACGAGACAATAGTTTTCCGCTCGCCGAACAAAGCCCATAGCAACAGCCAAGTCGAGCATAATCGGCGACATTATTGGATGCGCGCAAGAAAATCGGGAGGGAAGTATCGTTGATTAGGCCGTAAAAAGCTAATCGTTCGACCGAAATGATTCATAGATTCTATCGCGTTAGGAACACGCGTTGCGCTAATTCACCGGACGTTTCGAACGAAGGGACGCGCACGCGGTCGCAATCCGACTTGTGTAGTATAAAAAAAAAAGAGAAGAAGAAAAAAAAAAAAAGAAAGAAAGAAAGAAAAAGTAACGAGCGAAGGAAAAACGTAGTCGCGACGAGTATCGAATTTTCGACGAGTATCGAGAAGGTTAAGGGCGACGACGATCGGCCTCGATAGAAAATATTAACGAAATAGCACGCATCTCCCTTTGACGACGGTTAAAAATGATCTTTTTTAAGTGGATCGACTCACCTGAGGAGACCGTCCTCTCGAGGACCTGAATCAATTGTACCGTCGTTGGATCCATCTGCATGGCTTCTAGTAACTTCCGCTCGACCCTCTCGTCAGGATATATATATATATATATATATATATATGTATATATGTATGTATATATATATATATATATATGTTACAATAGCGACACGAGACTCTTTACGATATCGTCCTAACGCGAGACGTTTTCTGATCGCAACCGGCGGATACCCACATGTAGTCACTACCGAATCAACTGCCCCGACGACGTCCCCCCTCCTCTTCTGCTCCTTGTCTTTTGCCTTCTCTCTCTCTCTCTCTCTCTCTCTCTCTCACACTCTATCGTTTCTCCCCTCAACGTGCGGCGTAGTGATATCCCACGAGCCTTCTCGATTATCGCTCTTGCGCTTCCTATCGTCGTAATTTTACAAGCACGTAGCTCACGACGATAAGCGTTTGGCTACTTTTTAATCTTCGACGAGCTCGATCAACGCAAAGACCGTCAATTTCTTTGGCACGAAGGACGTAAAAAAAAACGTGACGAAGCTATCCTTTCCCTCTCGCCCTTCTTTCTTGCTCGCGCGATCGTCGGCTTCCACTGGTCAACCGAGTGAGGACTATTTTCTGCGCGTCTCGACCCGTCCCGCCCGAAGACGCATGCGCGTTGCGGGAAAGCAGCGACCTCTTCGACGCAAGCGCTACCAGTAGCGCTGCTGCTGCCGCCAACGAGAAGATTATGACCGTTTCCACAGACTGATCTCTTCAATCGAGTGGTTTGAAATTTTTCAACCGTTTTCCCTAACAAACACGCCATTGGCTTCTCGAGGCCGATGACAATATGGCCTCGAGACTTTGATCTATCGAGAACTTTAGAAAAGAAACTATAGAAAAGAGAACTTTAGAAAAGAGAAAAATGCTATGGACAATCATCGAGTTTGATTCGTCGAATCAACGAAAATCTGATATACGGTATGTGTACGCGATCGTAAATCGAGAATAATTATCAAGAATAGCTATCGCTTCGATATAAATGTTGTAGAAAGTAAAGGGGTTTGACCATTTCTACGACGGAAATGTACTCATCCTCGAGCGGTTGGTGGGCGGTTGGAGGGGGGGTGAGCAGGGGAGAATCTTATCTCGCAAAGGGACGAGCGTCCCGTCTCTCTCTCTCTCTCTCTCTCTCTGGCGAGGCAGCGATAAAAAGACGGAGAGACGTGTATCCGACCGATTGCACAACGT